TTGTGTTCTTTCGAAGAACTATCTATATGGGATCAAAACGACAACAGCAACTCGAAAGGTTAGATAGGAAACTTAAGGAGCAGTGAGTTTATGGTAATAGAGAAGGAACAAGTCAGAAAAGGAGGGTGAGAACGGTTGCACAACTTGAAGAATGTAATCAATGTCACTGAATTCTACATGTAGAAATTGTTGAATTGGAATATGTTTTGCTGTGTATATTTTCAACAACTATAAAAAAAAGTAAATTAGGATTAAAAAAAAAAAACAACCCAAAACCTGTGTGATCTTGAGAAGATTATTAACCTCTCCAAATCTCAATTTATTTATTGGAAAATTAAGTATAGTATCACTTTCTCTACCTCTCCCTTTCATTGTGAGGATTCACCATCCAGCATGGTGCCTTGATGACTAAGCCCTTGATAAGGGCTGCTTCCCTCCCCTCCACCCAGTTGCCTCCTCTGAAAAGCGGGGGGGATATTCCTCTCTTCAGACTGCCGTGAGATTAAATTAGATAAGGCGCTCTGTACCGCGGTGCGTTACTTCTTTAATACAGATTAGTTCTCCTCCCCTTCCCTTAAAGCGGACTGACTCACAAACTGGTTAAAGTTCCCACTGGGAGACTGAGAATGGAAGTGGGCAATAAACTGCTTCATTTCACTCAGGGACTGTTTCCCAATTCGCTTCTGCTACTGCTGTTCTCTGAAGTGTTTACCTGAGTTCTGGCATGTGCTTGTAGAAAACAGATCCTTTGATGGTTTTGTCGAAATATGCTGGAGCCAGAGGAATGCAGGCCGAGTGTGTCATTCTTTATGGAGCTAGAGTTGGGAAGGACGTTGATCTTGCCCAGCCAGACTGTGCACTAAAATGCAGAGTACAACCCGACATCCTTGAAAAACATGGATGGTGGCTTCTTTGTATCCCAGAATCGGGCAAGTCTGTTCTGGGAAGAATCTGTAGGTATTCATCAAAATGCCAGAGGTGGCTAGTGAAATAGGCTTTGGGGGCCCAAGCCAGGGACGATGGTGGCCATGACTGGGTGGAGAACAGTGTAGTTACGGTGGCCTAGATTAAAGGCTTCACGTCAGCGCCATTCAGTAGAAGTTTCTGTGATGATGCAAAGGTTCTATTCCTGCGCCCTCCAGCACACTAGCCACGAATTTGAACACTTGAAAGGTGGCTAGTGTGACCTAGAAACTGAGGTTTTGATTTTATCTAATTTTAAGTAATTTAAATTTGAGCTTAAATAGCCACATGTGGTTAGTGGGTACCATATTGGACAGCATAGCACATTATACAGACTGCAGCATCCCAGCAGCAGCTGCTTCCAAACAGGCAGAGTTTCACGTGGGTGTGTGCCATTTCCATCCATACCCAGGGCAGCTGGATGTTACCACAGGGACGCTACTCCCCACTAGGGAGCGAAGTCAGGCTGAGCAGATTAGGACTTTGCTCAGTGGAAGGACTGAAGCAGAACTGAGGGGAATTTGGAGGGGCCAGAGAAGGGGATCGCCAGCTGTCTGTCGGTTTGTCTTACTGTGGTGGCCTGCATGTTGCTGTGATGCTGGAAGCTGTGCCACCAGTATTTCAAATACCAGCAGGGTCACTTATGGTGGACAGCTTTCAGCAGAGCTTCCAGACTAAGACAGAGTAGGAAGAAAGGCCTGGCTATCTACTTCTGGAAATTAGCCAATGAAAACACACCCACACACACAATATTGTCAGATATAGTGCTGGAAGAGGAGCCACCTAGGCTGGAAGGCACTCAAAATACACAGTGGCCGCAACAATGTACTTGAGCGTACCAAGGATTCTGAAGATGGCACACCTCTGGGCACATTTCGTTCTGTTGTACTTGGTGTGGCCGTGAGTCAGAGCTGACTCGACAGCAACAAACAGCAGCAGAGAAGGGGAGGGTGCAATGCAGGCACAGCTCCGCCCTAGAACCTCCCTCCGGGCTGGGGTTTTTGATTCCTGAGCGGTCTCAGTCACTGCTGCCTTGTAGCCTCCATATTGCTGGATATCACTGGCCTGATAGGTCCTATCCTGATCAGATGTCCCTGGAGCAAGATAAGTAGCTGGCAATAAAGGTAGACAAGTGACCCTCCCTGTCGCCTGAGTCCCCTTCGGACAGCACTGAGCCCCTGCACAAGGGGGTTAGTCCCCACCCAGCCTCCTGAGGGGAGGGTCTCGGCAGGCCCGAGCTCCATCTATGCTTGTAGAATAAATGAAGGGATTAGACACTCTGACTTTGGTAGCTGGTGGGTGATTTGAGGCTATCCTAAACCAACCCTCTGGTTCTCTGTAATAAGAAAAGGGATCTCCGTGCGGCAGGTGTACCAGCAGCCTGTGGAGGTTGGGTGCCTGGCATCTTGGCAAATGGGAGGAACTCACCCTGGCTCGCGCCTACTGCTCTTCTCCCTCCTCCGTGTCTTGGTACTTGCTTCCTCCCCCAGCTCCAAGGCTCTAGTAGGTGTCATGCTGTCCCCGGGCTGGGCCAGGCCCCTCACTTCAGATGCAGCTCCCAGCCCAGCCTGGAAGGTGCCACAATGACCTCATTTCTTCCCAGCTGATCCCGAGGGGAAAGCAATCAGTCCCCTCCGTCCTCACCTCCACCCCCACACACCAGGCGCAGGTGGCCGATGTAAGAATCACTGAACTAGATGAGTGGCGGCCTGGAGGTCTGTCAAGAAATCTCCTTGTGACCCTGCCCTGGGCAAGCCATCTCATCTCTTCGGACCTCGGTTTCCCTGTCTGTAAAATGGCGAGGTTGAACAGTCCCTCGTAACTCTAACAGTCCAGGATTAAAGTAGTTTCCAGTGAAATGTGATGATCTGAGAGGCTTAATCACCCCAGGCGGCTTTGCCATTTAAAAGAGGAGCTGGTCAACGGATCGTGTCTCTGCTCAGCAGCCTGTGGTGGGGGAGCTCCATTAAGCAGGAGGAGCTGAGGGCACCCCTCAACCTTTCACGGGGAAAGGCCCCGCCCTCCCTCCAAGTTCTCCCCAGACGCAGTCACCTGCCCCCCACAAAGGATTTCTGCCATTCCCAAGCCTGCCTGGTGAGCTGAAGGGAAAACGTGGCTTGAGAGCAAAAGTTCAGATAAACAAGAACCTTTGCTTCAAAACTAAGTCACCTGGGAGTTTGAACTTGCTAGGGGGGTAATAAAAGGAACACTGAACTGGGAGTTCGGTGGACCTGGGTTCTAGGTCTGTTTACAGGCTGTGTGGCCTTCGGCCGGTCACCTTCCACTTGATTTGCTTGCTCATCTTCCAAGGGGATAACAACCTATATAGATAATGTGTACATATATATAAAATGTCATACATATACAATGTTATATAGATAATGTTGTATAATGTGTACGTATATAAACTATTATACATATACAATGTTACACATATAATGTTATATAGATAATACATATATATACATATATAATGTTATGTAGATAATGTATACTATATAATGTTATATACAATGTTACATATGTTATATAGATAATGCATATCATATATATAAAT